CAGGGACCCCCAATAAATCATGGGGACCCCCAACAACACAGAGGGACTCCCAAACATCAATCAGGGATCCCCCTAAACCAGCACAAGGCACTCCAATAAATCACAGAGATCCCCAAACATCAACCAGGGACCCCCCAACAACACACAGAGACCCTCAAAGCCACACGGAGACCCCCAAAACCAGCACAAGGACCCCTCAAAACCACACAGAGACCCCCAACATCATGTGGGGACCCCCCAAAACCACACAGGGACCCCCAAACATCAATTAGGGACCCCCAACTCCACACAGGGACTCCCAAAACTGAGAGGAGACCCCCCAAAACCACGCAGGGACCCCCAAATGTCAATCAGGGACCTCCCAGTTCCAAACAGGGACCCCCCAAAACTGCCCTGGAGGGGCACAGGGGGGCCCACGGTGTCCCAGGACACAGGAAGGTCACGTGTGAACACGTGTGTGAACACACACCAGGTGTGAACACGTATGTGAAAACACACACCCCCCCAGGGGTGAACATGCGTGTGAACACACACACCAGGTGTGAACACACACACATGTGACCTTCACGTGCACACACACGTGTGTGAACGCACCTGTGCAAACACAGACACACACGTGTGCACACACACCTGCGAACACACAGCTGTGCACACAGACACACCTGTGAACACGCACATACACACACCTGCACACAGACACACACGTGTGAACATACACCTGTTCACACACATACGTGTTCACGCACTCACACGCGTGTGCACACACAGACACACACCTGTGCACACAAACACACCTGTGTACACACACGTGTTCACACCTGTCCACACACACCTGTGCACACACACCTGTGCGCACACACACACCTGTGCACACACATCTGTGCACACACACACATGTTCACACCTGTGCGCACACACACGTGTTCACACCTGTGCACACACACCTGTGCACACACATACGTGTTCACGCGGGCTCACACGCATGTTCGCACCCCTCCTCCCTCCCCCGTTTGGCCCCCACAGATTTGGGGGGGGCTTGAGGGGACCCTGGAAATGAGGAGCCCTGGAGGGTCCTACAGCCCCTATGGATGGGGGGCCCTAATTATGAGGGGTCCTACAGAGCTGGAGGGGCCCTATAGCCCCTAATTAGGGAGACATCCTATAGCCCCTACGGATGGGGGGGGCCTAATTATTGGGGGGTCCTATAGAGCTGAAGGGGTCCTATAGCTCCTATAGACAGCGAGTTCCTATAGATGGGGGGCCCTGTAGCCTCTAATTATGGGGGTGGGGGGGGCTATAGATGGGGGAGGGCCCTATGGGGGGGACCCCAGAAACGAACCTCCCCGAGGGGACCCGCAAAGCAAACCCCCTAAACCGATCCCCTTAATTGGGACCCCCAAACTGACCTCCCAAAATGACTCCCCCCAAACTGAATCCTCCTAAAACGGGGACTCCCAAACTGACCCCCCCCAAACCCGACCCCTTTAAACGGGGACCCCCCAAAACGACCCCCCAAACTGAACTCCTTAAAACGACCCCCAAACCTGCCCCCCCAAACGAACCCCCAAAACGACCCCCAAAAATGACCCCCCCCAAAACCGACCCCCTAAAACGACCCCTTCAAACGACCCCCCCAAAAAGGGTACCCGGGGTGTGGGGGAGGGCGGGAGGAGGGAACTGGGCTGGACTGGGAGGGACTGGTCCATACTGAGAGGGCCGGAGGGAGGGACTGGTCCATACTGGGAGGGATGCGGAGGGGGGCCGGGTCTATAATGGGGGTTACAGGTCCAGACTGGGGGTTACTGGTCTATACTGGGGCTGTCCCACTCACCGGGTCGGGTCTATCCTGGGGATTACTGGTCTATACTGGGGGTTACTGGTCTATACTGGGGGGGGTCCCACTCACCGGGCCGGGTCGCAGCATCGCTCCAGCGGCCGCCGGGGCCCCTCCGGCCCCCGCCCGCGATCGGCTTCGTTCGGCTCCGTTCGGGATCGTTCGGACCGAGTCGGGCCCGGTTCGGCTTCTCTTCGTCTTCTTTCGGGACAGTTCGGCTCCGGTTCGGGACCCTTCGGCTCCGTTAGGCTCCGGTTCGGGATCGTTCGGAACGATTCGGGTCCGCTTCGGCTTCTTTCGGGATCCTTCGGCTCCGGTTCGGCTCCGTTCGGCTCCTTTCGGCTCCGTTCGGGTCCGTTCAACTCCTCTTCGGCTCCGGTTCGGGACCCTTCGGATCCGGGTTCGGGTCCCTTCGACTCCTCTTCGGCCCCGTTCGGGTCCGTTCGGCTCCGGTTCGGCTCCTCTTCGGGCCACTTCGCCTCCGCTCGGCTCGTCTTCGGCTCCGGTTCGGGATCGTTCGGAAAGATTCGGCTCCGTTCGGCTCCTTTCGGGAGCGGCGGCGGCGCTGGAGGGGCGGGGGGGAGTGGGGAGGCGAGGGGGAGAGAGGGGGGCGGGGATGGAGGCAGGGGACGAGGGGATGTGGGGGGATATGGGGGATGGTATACGGGATATGGGGATATGGTGTCCCCATGTTCCCCCCCGTCCCCCTTGTCCCCCAATGTCCTCAAAGCCCCCCCCAAGCCCCACCATGTCCCCAAATGTCCCCCCCATCCCCCCATGTCCCTCCTTGTCCTCCATGTCCCCAAAGCCCCCTCATGCCCCCCCATGTCACCAGATGTCGCTCCGTGTCTCTAACCCCCCGCGTGTCCCCCATGTCCCCCCAAAGCCGCCCCCAAGTCCCCAAGTGTCCCCGAAGCCCCCCCCGTGTCCCAAATGTCCCCCCAATGTTCCCCCCGTGTCCCCAAAGCCCCTCCGTGTCCCCAAATGTCCCCCAAGGTCCCCCCCACCCCAGAGAGGCTCAGGCGTTGCGCGTTTGGGGTTTTTTTTAGGGGGGGGGAGGTTTATTGGGGGGTTTTATGGCTTTAGGGGCCCCCCCCCGGCCCCACACACAGACACAAAACGGGGGGGGGGGGAGGGGACACACGGACTAGGGGGGTCCCGGGGGGGGGTTCACACGGAACTAGGGGGGCCCCCGGACCCCCCCCCCCGGGGGGGGAGGCCGAACACACACATTGGGGGAGGGGGTGGGGGGTCCCCGGAGGCCTTTTGAGGGGACTCCCATAGACATACACAAAGGGGGGTGGGGCCAGGGGTCTTTTTGGGGCCCCCCCATAACACAAAGGGGGGTTGGACCCCCGGGGTCCTTTTAGCCCCCTCCCCCCGTACAAACACGTGACACAAGGGGGGTGGACGGTCCCCAGGTCCCTTTTGGGGCCCCCCCCAAAACACAAAGGGGGGATTCGGACCCCGGGGGTCGTTTCTGGGGCCCCCTCATAACACACAAAGGGAATTGGGGGGGTCCCCAGGTCCCTTTTTTTGGGCCCCCCCCCATAACACAAGGGGGGAGTTGGACCCCCAAAGGTCGTTTT